CCGCCTCACCCAGGAAGCTCAAAGAGGAGCACTCCAAGCTGGATGACAAAGCCGAGGTGGTGCTCAACGAGTACAACAAGATGTACCTCGGCACTTCGGTCCCTTAAACCTTGAACCCTAAACCCTGGACCCATAAACCCCGAAGAAACATGTCCCCGTCCTCCCTGAGCCCCCCTTCCCATTACCCATGTGCTACACCCTGAACCCCAATCCGCAGAACTTCTGTACCCATCAGTGTGCACGTGAAGCTGTGAATTTGCTTTAGGTTTTAGGTCTTGTGCTAGGTTTCCCAGTAGGACCCTTTTGCCCTTTTTCCTTTTGGGTTCCTTTATCAAAAGCCAAATAGTAGGAAAAAGGGCACCCTTATTTGTAAGGGTTTACTGAGGAACCCAGGGTGTAATTAAGTTCAAGGCTCCAGCCTTGGTTGCAGAACCAGAACCTTGAACCGCAGCTGTGCCACCATCGGCAAGCTCCAGGAAGGAGAGCATGACCGCGAAGGACGCCGTTCTGGAGAAGCTGAAAGACCAGCGTGACGAAGCCCCTGTGCTACGGTTTCGGGTTTAGGTTTGGGGCTGCAGCAAGTTTTTCAGGTTCGCGTTTGCACCAGCCAAGCGAATGGAATTTCGTGTCCGTAAAGGCTTCAGCATGTAGGAATGCAGGGTTTAGGTCTTATAGGTCCATAGCAACAGCTTTAGGGTTTATGGGGTTGGGCCCTGGGGGTGATGGAGAGCAGGAACACAGGAGCAGTGCTCAAATTTGAGCTTGCTCCTTTGGGAGCGAGAAGCAAATTGCAACATATTGCAACCCCAAGCTAGTTGCCTGCAGGGGCTTTGTCGTTCAAGCTCCGGCGCTAGCTTTCTTTTCATGTCGTAATACCGAGATCGGCCATATCCTTTAATTAAGGAATATACTTGCATGAAGTTTGTTAAAGGATGATCCTGCACCACTGCACCAGGCATTTGCTCGATATATATATATATATATACACACACACACACGCATACACATCAGAATCATATACAAATATGATATACATATATACATACATATATATATATATATATATATACATGTATGTGTATAGAGCGAGAAAACAAAGCATATGTTATGCTACAGTGGGTGACCCTCAAGCCGGCCGTACTCTAGCGGGATGTTAGCGGGTAGTCGGTCTCCGAGTAGCTCTTTGTGGTCAGAGCACGCAACTTGGGAGGTTCAGAGAAGATGGGACGATATCGACCATGACAAGCAGTACGGTCCTAATCTAGGAACTTGATAAAGAAACCCGGGTCCTGTAACCCGAAAATATTCGGATCCATGGAAAGAACCCCTTAAGGGCCCAAGGTTTCTAATGAGGCTCCTATATCATAGTGGGAGCACTCCAAATGAGGAACACCTAGCTATTCTGACATCTACCCAGGTGATCAAGAAGGCGAGCGATTTCAAGAGCCAAGAAGTCGACTTTGTCAATGAGTTGGAGGCCAGTGTACACAATGACATACGCGGTTCCGTTCATAACGCATACATGCATGTATACATACGTACGTACGTTTACATCGTATGCATGCATAACACATGCACAAGTCGCATGTCTCTTTTTTGCAATCTATGCAGGTCTCTGATTCTGTCAAGATATACTGTTACCAGGGCTGGAGGTTTGGGTGCCTGACATCTTCTGGGTTCCATTCCTGCGGTACTAAGTGTGTTTAGGGTTAGGGTTGGCGCCTGCCAGGTGAAAGTGTCTTGAGTGGTTGACTGGCAGGCCTTGGCAAGGTGATGTTTGCACCGTTAACCTGTAACAAAACATGTTAAGAGAAAAACTAGGCCCCGAAAGAACCCTTAGCCTCAGCCGAAGCCCACCTTCTTATCAGGTTATTGTTCCGGAGCTTCGACTTCAGGTCAACAGAATAAGGAAAACATACGAATTTGGTTGTTTGTTACACACCTATTCTGGTGTCTTAACTTTAATAAAACATGATAACGCACTACTCGCTCTTGTCCCCGAGCCTCATCGAACGTTTGAACGTCCCTGCCTGTAGAGCCCAATACCCAAAGGAAGGTCGTTTCCTCGCTTCCGGGGACCCTTTAACTCGAAGCCCTCAAGCCTTAACCCTACATCCAACATCGTAGGGTTTAGGGGTATAGGCTTAGGGTTTAAAGCAACCTTCCTAGATATTTAGGGATGTCAGGGCTTTGGGCCCTAAACCCTAGGCCCTAAACCCCAAATCCTAATCCCTAAACCCTAAACCCTAAACCCTAAACCCCATGTCCTAAAACCTAAAACCTAAACCCTAAACCCTAAACCGTTTGGCAGGAGAAGACCCGAACCCTTCGAGAGCTGCACTCGCGCATGGCCGCGTGCAAGGGGAAGATGGAGGACCCCACATCGGGGGGGGGTTTTAGGGTTTTGGGTTTCGGGCTTAGGGTTTAGGGTTTAGGGCTTAGGGCTTCGGGTTTACGGTTTAGGGTTTAGGGTTTGGGGGTTTAGGGTTTAGGGTTTAGGGCTTGGGGGTTTACGGTCTAGGGTTTAGGGCTTGGGGTTTAGGGTTTAGGGTTTAGAGGTTTAGGGTTTAGGGCTTGGGGTTTGGGTTTAGGGTTAGGGTTTAGAGGGATAGGTTGGGGTTGATAAAGAGTTGCTTTGACTTCTATAGGGGTCTTCATACAGTTTGAGAGGTTTCGATGACCGGTTGTTGATGAGAGGTCGGTTGTTCCTGTGTTTGAGGTTGCTCATGTGTTTGAGGGTCCTTTGGCCCACGTGGACCATCTTGCGATTTTGGTATGGAAATTCGCGGCCTGCTGGAAAGTTTAAAGGCACATTGGCCGCTCGTGTGTTCTTGTTCAGGGATGAGGGTGTAGGCTAGGGGTTTACGATTTTGGGGGTGAGGGGTGGCGGCTTTAGGGGGTGGCTCTGAAGTTTCGTGTATCGCTGTACTTGAGACTGCCACAACCCACTTTGCTTGTCGGTTCCTGATTCATTCCGGTAGGGTGCCCTTGAACGCTCGGTTCTGCGTTGTTTAGGGAGTCGGTGAGGGTATGTTAGGGTTTTGGCTACAGGGTTGCAAGGTTCAGGACGTAGGCTGCCGAGTATTGTAGGGGCCGGAATCTGAATTATTCCGCAGGGCCCCTGAGTACAATCATACTATACCCGAAAAGCTTGTTCTAATTATCCGAACAATAACCCTTTAGAACCTTTCAACGAACCGTATAAAAAAAGCGCATCCTGCTCAGACCAGGCTGGGGAGTATTTGGGGGCTTTAGTGTCAGTTCTGCGGCTCAGGAAGCGCGAAAAGACTATGCCCAGCTTCCCTTGGACTTCCTGCGACTGAGATTCGAATTTAGCTGGGAGCTTTTAGTCATAAAAGGGTTCGAGGCGTCGCATATTGCTTTGATAAGGTTCTTATAAAAAGAGATCCAGTTCCTCAAGCCTCCTTTGAATTAGGACATTAAGACATGGAAGCTGAAAATGTCCACTTTAAAGTAGACAGCAGTCTTTACTCGAATCCTTTTTTAGATTTCATGCGTTAGGGAGGGTTAGTTGTTTTGGGGGAGATGTGTAACTAGCTAGCTGTTTCTGAGGATGTCATGATCCAGCCCGTTTCTGGTTAATGAGCTCCAGTGTATTGCTTAGATGCTGACTGTGCTTCTGTTGATGGCAATGATGATGTTATTATATAGAGGCATTAATAGTTACCTATATTATGTTTGGAGTTCCTTTTTGTGTTTATACATAGTATACTATACCCCAAAACCCTACTTCAATTATTAAGGCCCCTACATTAGACAACATCATCCACACCATCCTGGCGACCTTTACGACGATCATGATTACGGCGACCGATCATGAGTTGATCCTCATAACATTGATGGCGATGCTGATGATGGTCGGTCCATCAGCATCATCTCAATGCTTATGTCAACAAGACAGTAGTCGTCATTAGGTAATGGCGAGTTCTTCAGGATTGATTGGTAGCTATTGGTAGCATTCCTCCCTAGTATCCCTTATTATTATTATTATGAGTATCGTCAGTCTTAGTAGAATATTTTCCCGAATTTAATTGCTAAATCCTGCACATTATTCCGTTTCCGCATCCAGAGCATCGGATGTGGTGTCTTTCCGTGTGGAAGTGCGAACGGAATGCCAACAGGGTCAACATGTAGTACTATTATGGAAGTAGGTCCCCAAAACCATACTAGGGATGGTCTTTTGGGACCTAATCCCATAATGGTAGTGTATATGGACCCTCTGGGATACACAAAAAACATTATTTGAACACACGACGTTCCCCGAAGCCATGTCATCTCAATCTCTCAACCCCACGAAGAAATCTAAAAGAGAGGTGTGTCGTTGAAAGCTCGACATTCCAACTCTCAGTGTACATCAAAGGCCGGTGCCCACCATGTTGTGCGGAGAACCCCAAAGCAACAGCACGGACCCTACTGCACATTACGAGTCAAATCCTGCGAAAAGTTCGTCATACCCGACATGTAGAGCATGTTTATTCCCCAACAGCGGATACGC